GTGTTGCTATTGTCCGCGCTACTTTTACTATCGCTACCGGGTTGTTGTCGTTTTTTTTTTTTTTTTTTTAGTTGTTTGGTGACGTCGAGAGCCAAAATTAGAAAGCGCAGATACTTACGCAGACTTTTATCGTGCTTTCCCAGGGGAGACAACGGGAATTAGTGCATGGCCGAAGAAATGGAAAATATCTGAGGTAAAAAGACAGAAAGACTAACATAGGCCAAATAAATGAGTGAAAACATCGGTATGGAACACCGGTGGAATGATTGATGACGTAGAAAATCCAAAGTTGCTTCTTCTTCTTCTTTTTTTTTTTTTTGTGGATAGATAGCCTAATGAAATTAAATACTGCGTAGACATTCGTGTAACTTAGAAAAATCTCAAGAACGAATTACACGAACTAGTAGCCAAATGCACATTTAAAATAATGCAAGCATGTTCAATAGGCCTAGCCTATTTTGTGTGCTAAAAAAAAACAAAACGAAAAACAATACGTCATGATTGAGCTACTGGATCATACACAATTTTAATATATAAATCTTAAACGATTTAAATCATTAAAAATGTTTCAAAAATGACCATTGGACAAAAAGAGAATTGGAATTTTTTGGCCATTTTTATTTTAATTCCTTGCCCCCTATTTTATTGAAAAGGAGCAGTGAAACAAAGGAAACACCATGAAACTAGTCGGAAAACACCACCAGTACATACCAAATGTAATAATGAAACCCTGTGATGGGCAAATTTCAGAAACACTTCCTTGTGTATAGCAGCACTCAGCAGCACTGGTCAACCAGATTTTGGCATTAACAAATTGATGCTCATTAACATTGCACCATTATTAAATTATGAAAATTATGAAATTATACGAAACAAGTGCATTTTTGATTACATCGTAGGTACAAATGTCTTTTAGTCTAAAAAAACCTGCTCAAATGGTAAGTTTAAGAGCTTTTGATAATATTCAAAAAAGGATCATAGTGCAGAGGGTTGGAAAGAGTTTGCTATAGTATTTGATTAGCTTGATATACACAACCACACTGAGTGGGAAACCTTGACACCATGCCATTTTCTTTTTGTGTTGTTTTCACTGACAGATTTGTTTATGAGTGTCAGGGGTCAGAGACCCGAACGTCTGTAACTCTCGTCTAAGCAAACAATTTGAATCTGGGTAAATCAGTTTCTATCAACAGAGTTAAACTTCAACCTCATTCAGTGAACCTTCTCAGAGGGGCCGTGATGATCTAAGTTGTATTTGAACTCTAAATGATCTTCCATGACTCACTGATATCAAACAGCTAGTCCAGTTTTCTTGTTTGTGTACTATATTTAGTATGCATATGCATTGAGTCTAAATATAGATGAATGCCCTAGATATTTAGATCCTGAGTCTGTGATTCACCCTGAGTCTGACCTATTTACATTGTCAGACCACAACATCAATTTTAAACCATAATTATTGACCAATAAAAAAACACATTATTTTATTTTATTAATGGTGGCTGCGATATGACTATTGCTGTTTACAATATATGATTTTGCTTGGTGAGATGATCCTGTTTAAAAATGTACAATGGCTATAATAAGATCACGGCAAATCATTTAGAAACGGGGCTGACGTGTTCCTAGCTGCTAAATAGCTTTTACCCAAAGCATACTTGTTAAATGAGTTTTGTGTCATGTGTTCATGTCATTTGACTCAGATCAGGTGTGCGAAAATCCTTTGGTTAGAACACAGATCTGGTCCGGCCATTTCTTTTCAAATAGTGAATAATATAACATCAAATGGAACTGAATCTAGATGATTAGTTTCAGTTTAAGCGAACTTTTCAGGCCTGGTTAAACGGTGTGAACTGAGAGGATCTTTCAGTTCTTTACAAATGGGAAAGTGAAACATACAGACCAAGGAAATCAAATGTCAGCCACTTTTCAGTTTTCTTAAAGCGTGAGAAAGTAGCGCAAAAAGCATAAGCATAAATTATTGAAAGCTTCTTCAGCAATATTTTATTTATGTATACTTTTTAATACATTTTTTAGATTTTATACTATGAATAAAAACATAGGGTTAGAGTTAATTATATAAAAAAAAAAATTACTGGAAGTTAATGCAACAATATTTTTTAATACACTATTGAATTACTTTATACGACAATTCACCATGACGTCACAACGGGAGACCCACCGTCAAATGTAAAAATGTAATAGTTGTTTTTTTTTTTTAATTAAATATAATGTGTTTTTTTTATCATAACAACTTGATATAATATAATAAATATGAAATATAGTAGGCCTACACATAATTACACTTACAATAGAATACACATAACAGCAATAGAATAGCTTTACAGTAAACTGTTTTTTTTCTTTGCAGTATGTAAACAATAATTAAAAAAAAAAAAAAACAGCCACTGTCCAAAGTGGCAAGTAAAGTTATAGGATAACGGACACAGCAATGCATCATAAGATCATCATGTTTGTAGCATGATCCAGGGGATTAAAACGTACAAAATATATTTCAGGTGTAGTGGAGTTGGTCACTAATAATAGTAGTAAAGGTGTAAAGTTGCATAAAATGGAAATACTCACTACTGCAAGAAAAAACTACCACAAAAAACTGTTATCTGTGCTGTTGTCCAGTAACTCCAGTTGGAATTTTCACCCCAAAATGGCGGCCGCGCTACAGAAGCGCCACCTAGTGGCTGTTACCAAAAAAGCATCAGAGTTTCGGCTCTTGCTCTTCTATCCACAAGTTTCCGAGGGGCGCTCCTGTAAAAAATAAAGTGGGTGAAACTTCCGGTGAGGCGGCGGAAGTAGCATTCCAATGGTATTTTGTGTGTTAGTTAGCGAAGAGGCTAGCTGTTTTTCGGAGAATTATTTTACTATTTAAAGACGCAAATCTTTGTGAGAGATGTCGTTACGGAGCTCAGGGACAACATGTGCTGTTCGCGGTTGTATGTATAACCGGACTAAACTAATTCAGTGGCTTAAACGGGATTGTTTTGAACATAAGCTGAAAACGAAATCACAGTGATCCTACCAACGACTGAAGTTTCCATCAACCTCCCAAAAGACAACGAATCTTCCTGTGTACATTTGTTTAAAATCTTAATATTCTATAAACTCTATCAGCATGTGTTTGGCTGTTCACTACTGATGTTACACCTAAACTCAGGATCAAAGCCTGTGTTGACAGAATACCAAATGTGCCAGTTAATGTATTCAAGCAGCACATTCATTTATAATTTTGAATAAACTCCAAAGCACAATGACTAAGTGTGTATTTTTTATTTTAATTGTTTGTCAGCTCGCACAACTGTCTGTCACCATGCCTTGATGAGTATTGATTATTAATAATGTTATTATAATAGTCCCAATCATCTACTGCGGAGGGTAAAGGTACTGTTATTTCACCCTTTTTAATTTCGTTGAGGTTGTGTTCCCACATCGTTATCTAGTTTGGATCGCTATAACTTGAATGACTGTCAACTGTTGAATGAACGAGTGTTAAAGTCCCCGTGAACCGGAAGTTGCAAACGATTTTTCTCCAGTGCTGTGACGTATTTCCAAGTGAAACGGAATATTGAACAGAGGGCAGGGTTTTACTCTAGCGCTCCTCCTCTCCATCTCTCGCTCATAGCAAACTAACGGTTTGAGGGGAGTGGTTAAGCGTTTCCCCACCCAAACTGTGAAACCTACGTCATCAGAAAAAGAAACTGTTCCAGACCGGAAGTAACTTTTCAGAATTTGATTAAAGATTACTAAGGTAAAACAATTTTTTAATATATATTCACTTGCACGGATTAATTGTTCACCACAAGACTAGTAATACGCGCTAACAAAGTAAATAGGTTCAATTTTGATTTCACGGGGACTTTAAGCATGTCAAGTAGCGCATTGTTTACTTCAAACCGGAAGTCGCGCCCACTTTTTACGCAAGGCCTCATGGGGCGTAGGAAACTTGTGGATACTCTTTGCTTGCGTTCTGCGATTTAAAAAAAAAAATGCATTTCTTATTTTATTCACAACCTTTGTTTTTTCTTCGTTTTTCACATTTTTATTGTTGTATTCTTTTTTAATAAATAAATGATTTAATAACATTATTATTAATTATTTAATAAATAACATTTTTTGTTTTTGTGAGTTTTATTCACATTCTTTGCAGATCATGTAAAATAAACAAAACAGCAAAGCTATAAGAGTAAAAATACATAAATAAATAAAAAAAATATTTTTTATTCAAATTTAAACCTGGTTGCCTGTACCAAAAAAAAAAAAAAAAAAAAATCTGCAAACAATATGTGTAAAAGTTAGTCCATAAATAATGTAAAATAACGGGTAACACTTTATTTTGGTGCTCCCAAATAGACATTCAACTGAACTTTGCAACTATGTCAACTTAATCCAACTCTACCCCTTCCAGTCTACTAATACTCTACTAACAATCTAATGAGAGTTAGTAGACATGTAGTGCAACGTTAGTCAACAGCATGTTTAAAAGGCACCATAAAAATAAAGTGTAACAAAATAATGTGCTTTCGCTGTGCTTGAATTACCACTAACCACTGCATTAAACATTATAGTCAAACACACATGCATGTGCTCACATGTTGATATGCAAACCTGTAGCTCAGTATTGAGAAGCAACTGTTATTGTAGTTTACAAAAAGTGTTGATCAAAAACAGTAATAACTTAATGAGCTATTACTAACAAAAAGTTCCTTTGTAAATACCAAGAAAGAAATATGTTAACTCTGGTACTCCCCCGATGTAATGTGTGCACTGGTATTTCCATCTAAATTTGGAATCATTAACATCTATTGATTCATGTTCTATGTTTACACATGTGTATGTACAAGCAACAGTTTTCACACTTAATGCTCAGTTTCAGAGAGAGAGAGAGAGAAAGAGAGAGAAAAAACATGTTGCTATCTAGAGTGCACGGGGGAAATATCTGCCATCACGGAAGACTGACTGAAGCAAAACAGAGAGGGGAAGTTCACAGTATAAATACATTGAGTCAGTCAACCACTAAACCTCACTCACATGAGAGTTAGAGAGACGTACGGACGTATCTGAAGAGCACCTGAACATTGAGCTGGCTCTGTTAGAACGGTTATTGGGTTATTAGAAACATTTTGTGCGAGTGCTTGTATGGAACTGGACTGGAATGTGTTGTTGGATATGATTCTCAACTGACATAGACATGGATTGGATCTCATGGATTTCTGTTCTGGTCACATTGATGCACGTCCCGGCTTACACAACAAGTGAGTTTTGATTTATTAGGGTTTTTTGGGGGGCTCACGCTTCATTGCAAGGTGATTATAATAACAATATACTGTACTGTTACATATTCGAAAATACTTTCATTTAATTTGTTATATTAAATAATTTTTGTCCTTTTAAATGAAATATGTCCACAAAACTGAAATATACGACAGAAATATAAAGTGCAAGTGGGCGCTTGATTCAGCGATGACGTGAGTGACGTAAATTCCTCACCAATTTTGGGCGTCCCCCCTGTGACCACTGGTGCAAATGAATATATAGCTACAACTATAAGTTTGTACACTCTAAAACCCAATTTTGGGTAAAATATGGACAAACCCAAACTTTGGGTTAAAATGTCATTTAAGATCAATATTTGATCCAAATTTGGGTTGAAATAACCCAGCATTTTTAGAGTGTATTTATTTATTTGACTATAGTAAATTTTCATACATTTTTTTTAAAGATAATTTTTTGTCAAACCAACATAGAAAGTCCAACAAAAAAAAATAAACACATAGATAAAGCACGAATTTGTGCAATTGGATTTTCTTTTTTTACCAACACCCAACTATACCCAGGCATCGCTATTACATTGTATCGCATAGCATTGTGTAAGTTATTTTTGAAACATTTTGATTATCGGTTTGCTTGATGAAGTAGACATAATTTGCAAATTGACTTAATTAAGAAAACAAAAACAACAACAACAGCAAAAAAACAAAAAAAAAAATCCTATGCCACCTACATCTGGAAAGTACAGCTGATGGACAATACAGACAGTACATCAAGTGTGAGAATGCTGCTATGACTGGAACAAGAGCAAATAAACCACTTCTTTATTGGGAAGAGACGAGTCTGGGAAAGTCTGAAGATAATTCTGACAATATTTCTATTTTGTTTACAGGTGAAGAGCTAGACTTTGACATATGGGAGGGAAATGTAACTGCGCTCTGGGATCCTCCTGAAGGATCCCCCATAGATGCCCTTTATCAAGTAGCGCAAACACAGTAAGCATTCTTAATATACAGTTTCACAGTCTAGTAAACTTATTATTATTATTTTATTTTTTATTTTTTTGCCCACCTTTTTTGCTTGAAGGAAGTTTACAGTACTCCAAAAACTTATGTATTTTCTCTTTTAGGTATTCTGGTAATAATTGGGAAATTGTGCCAGAGTGTAACATGACTACAGAAACTAAATGTGAACTTGGGAACTTTTTATATAAACCCGAAACGAAAATAAAGGTTGAATTGCAAGGAAATGGCAACTTTTCCTGGTCAGCGATTAAAAGAATACGTTTATATCGGAGTAAGTATTTCCTGGCCTTTTTCATTGTGTTACTATAGGAAAACAACTGTTTACCCCCCAAAATTAAACACACTAACTGAATAAAATAGCACTGAATTAAGTGAATACTCAATCTTTTAAGTATAAAGAACATCAGGTTTTTCCGTTTACAAAAATAAGGTTTGTCAATGGTTCCATGAAAAACCTTTAACATCCATGTTCCTTCCATGTTTTAGGTAAATTATTGGCTCCAGAATTTAACCTGTCTTCCACTACCAATATGGTGAAGGTTAAGATTCACAGAAAGCCATTTCTCAAAGAACTTTTTGAAAATGGACCAAGTTACTCTGCCATTCTGTATCCCAAAGGACAAGAGAGTCAGGTTGGTTTTTTTAGTAGACTAACTACTAAACTACTAAGTAGACTAATACCCCACCTTTACAATAAAGAAACTTGCTTGTTATATTGCATGGCGTTGGAATCTCTAAACCTGTATTGTCTCGGATGCAGGCTATAACAGTAAGTGATGATGACGAAGATGGTGAGGTGGAGTTCACTTCATTACCATTATGGCAGGAGTATTGTGTCCATGTAAAAGTGGAGATGATATCTAATGATGTGAGCAACACTTCATTACCACGGTGCATATATCCATCAGCAGGTATGCATTTGAATAAATAAAAGTCTTCTGTTTTTACACAGCTCTCTCAAATGGACTGGTCAATATAACATAATGACTGCTAAAATGTATATTTCACTGTTGTATTGATTTATTTAGTAACTAGTATATAAACCCCGTTCAGGGTGATACTGATACAAGACCTTATTCTTTGCGTTTGGGTTTTTTATTAATTACTTTTGGGAAATTTCAACCACTGAGGCTTAATGTTGATTCCTCTTGTTTGTCAGATACATCTATGGTGATCTACGTGGCAGTTATTGGTGTCGTCGGAGTTATGACCTTCTTCATGTTTGTAGTCTGTTTCTTCTTAAGGCGTCCCGGTAAAATGCCGGCTGTTCTGGTGAGTCAACTTGGTAATATTTAAATAATAAATGTAGTTTCATCAAAACCAAAAGTGTTAGAGCAAGCCAGTTTCAGGCTCTTAAAAGGGGAATGAAATCTAAAGAAGAGAGGCTCAGTAGTGTCAGTTCTCCTTTCGAGGAACAGTAGCAGAAATGGAAGTGCTGGGGATTTACGTATGATTTATGCACATGATCTCATTGATGCTTGGTTTGGTCCTAATGACACAATACCATTTAGAATGAAACTATTTTGGCAATTTCTGTCAAACTCAAATACATTTGTATATGTGTATACACCATGGTAAATTCTAATATTCAGCCCGTTTTCATCCCAAGGCGTCATATACTGACGCTTTTGACATTTCGTCTACGTCCAAAGCACATGGCACCCTTTAGCTTTAATATTGGTGCATTTCCCACCGCTGGTACGGCTCAGTACGGTTCGCTTTTCCACTGCGTGGTACGACACGGCACGGCTCGGTTCGCTTTAGCTCGGTTGCTTTTCCACTGCAGTTAGTACCACTTTAAAGTGGATGGGATTTGTTTAAAAGCAGTCACTACAGCGGTGGCTGTTACTGGCTATTTAAATCTAGCGGGTTTGGTTTCTCGCGTCGCAAATACAATGACGCTGGTAGTGACGATTCTGTCTGACCAATCAGTGATCTGCATTGTTTCACGTGACATTTTAGTACTTCTACGGTACACTTGGAACCTCAATAGACCAGGTACCATTTAAAGCGAGCTGAACTGAGCCGTATCGTACCATGCAGTGCAAAAGCCCCAAAATGTGCCATATCGAACCGAACCGTACCGTACCGTACCATGCAGTGGAAAAGCGCCATATGAGACGCAGATATATATGGGCCAGAAGGCGCCTCCTAGTGGTCTAACCCTAACCCTACCCCAGACCTAAACCTACCTACAACCAAACAAAGCTCTGTGTGTGTTAAATTGACGCTAAAGGGTGCCATGTGCGTTAGATTTAGACGGAATTTCAAAGTGGCATTATATGACGCCCTAGGATGAGAACGCGTTGAATATGCTGTTAAAGCATTTATTTTAAATAGACATCTTTTGTAACATTTATAAATGTCTTGACTTTCACATTTGACTTTAATGTATCCCTGCTGATTGACAATATTTCCTTGGAAAAATGTATTATTTTTGTAGTTTTGTGAGGTTTACTATTAAGCGTTAACCATTGTTTTATCATATATTATTGTCCATCAGAAATCCGCTGTGAATGGATGGCACCCTATGCATGTAGGATTGATCCAAGTGGAAACCGTCACTGACAAAGGATGGGTGGTGAACACAGTGGCGGAAAAGAGTAAAGCATTTTATGAGGACGAGGAGCTTTCTGAGGATGACAAAGAGAGAAGAGAGAGTACGGACAGTGGCGTGAGTGTGGGCCAGCAGAACTCGCTTAAGAACAGAGGCACAGACGGACAAGCGGGAGATGAGGACAGCGGCTGTGGAAGTCTGACAGGAACCGAGGACAGCGGTCTCAGCGGTGGAAGAAGAAGCCTGGATGAGCTCCCTTTCCTGGACGGTGGAGTAAATAGCAGCAATGGTAAAAGAAAAGATGACAGTGGCTTGGGAATGGTAAACAAGGATGATTCCGACAATCTCCAAGGGGCGGACGGTGACCTGTCGGAGGTAGTAGTTGGTGGGGATGGATATCGTAGTCAGAGCCCTTCTGCTGATGCTGAAAGTAAGGCGACCGTTCCATATGATGTAGACACTAAAATGGCCAGCCCTAGCAGTGGTTATCGGTCTGGTCACGTGACGTGCTCGTGTTCTGACTTTGAGACTTGCATTTGGTGCAAAACCAGGAAGCTCCTAACAGACAGTGGTTCATTTTCTCATGAGAAACTCAGTCCTACCGATAACCACAACGACAGACCAAGCTATTTGAGAAAATCATCTGTGCAAACTGTGAATGGGCTAGGACTGGGAGATTTGTCCTTCCAGTCAGATGAGAACTCAAGTGAGTCGTCACTATTCATTACTTGTCCACTACTTCTACAAGAGCCCTGCCAACTTGACACTTTGCCTCTTACATTAGGAGACGTAGAACTGACATTCACGTGAGATATAAGACTTTTTCATGAATGTGTAAGCAAATATGGGCCGAACAAAGCGTATCTGCTTCTCCTCTTGCCGTTTGCTCCATTTTTTGTTTTGAGTAATAGCAGAGAGATGCTAAATATGGCTGTTGCTAGTACTAAGCACTCAGAATAAGAGCTGTCCCTCAGAAATGTGACTTCCGGCAAGCACGGTGTTATCATTTTGTCTAAATGTTGACCAGAGAGAAGACAAAACGAGTGATCAAGAGTGAACTAGCATCAGAATATGATGACGATGAGCTGTTGCCAGTTCTTGACGTCCAATGTCACACATCCACCACTGATGTAGTTAATTTATTGTCACATACTTGTGTTCATCTATTGCAATTTTGCACATGAATTGTACGTATTTACATTTTATGTAACTACTGACATTTTTTATATGCTGAATTTTCATTGAATCAACATTTCATATTGGGACCAATGTTAGCACGATATGGGATTGAGTTGTGGGCCTTACATGGGTTTGGTCTTTTGGGTCCATGTCGGCCCTATCTGAATTAGCCATATTAATCTAACCATGAAATGTTGGCTTTTGGTTTTGGATGTGATGCAATGATGGTAAAGGTGATGTTGTTGATGATAATACTAATTATACATATCTAGGTTTTTACATTTTATGAAAATAAGTGGTGCTTTCCCATTCCCAATTTTTCCATCCACACCCTCCTTTCATTGCTGTGTTTGAGCATGTAGTGAATTTTTATACAATAAAAAATATCTTTAATTTTTGTTCCCTTTTAGTCAGTCAAACAGGATACAAAGAATTAAAAAAAAAATGTTTCCCAAAAGTCTTAAGAAAATCCAAATGTGAAAGTGTTGAATCTGCATTTTACCAACAAGAACATATGCAAATTATGAGGCAAGAATATCCTTTGTGAAATTCCAATTTAATGAGATATTTGCAAATGCTAATGACACAGGAAAACCCAGCACTTCCTCTAGTGGAAACCCACGAAAGCCTGTGACTGTTTGCACGTGATTTCCTCCAACAGCATATCAGCATATATTATGGCAACCACAGTCACTTCTTAAAAGAAAAACCCAATTGAATTATGAATAAAGATAAGCTAACCCAATGTAAAGCTTATCCCAGTAAAGCTCTGCATATAAACATATCTTCCGTAGCAAAACCTCACAGATCTTGTGCAAACCCATTACTCAGTATTTCCATAGTGTCACTGCGCTGTGACGAAACACAGAAACTGAATGACAGAGCCAAGCTCAGCCGCAATCAATGACCTCCATCTTCAGATAGGGAAGGAAACAAAAAGTACTTTACCCACATCGACATCTCAGTCACAGATTCAACATGCTGTCACCGAAAGCTTAAGGCTCCATTCACAATAAAAGAGAAAATTAAAAACTCTCGGGGAGATCCCGCAATATGGAAGAAAACACACTTTATGGTGAAGTGTATCTTTAGAAACTGTTCTTGTCACTGTAATAATTATCGGATAATTTATAGATAAAGGAAAGTGATGATTTTGATATGGGCTCAAATACAACATTTGACTATTTTCTTTCACTGAAAGGTCTTGTGTTAACAGTCATTTGTAGAACAGAGGGCACCTTTGCCTCTCATCTCAATAGCAAATCGGTTGCTCAAAGAAACCACATAACTTAATCTGAGACAAAACACAACAACATTTATACCCTCCTAACGCTCCATCATTAAATCTCACATGTTCAATTCTGAAAGTGTCAGGCGGATGCATAGTGAAAACGGTTCTCTTTCTGTATTACAGACTACTGCACTGAAATCAGTAAATGGCCAGCAAATAATATTTAATTTTGGATAGACAAGTCTAAAATGGGCATATCTGGAGAAAGCCAACATTCTGCAGCAAATGGCCCCAAAATAAGATGATTCCCTTTTCTAAAATATAAAGGTAGCATTTATTATTAGAAAAAACTAATATTGTAATAAAAGAAAACATTTTCTAAAACAAACTTTTTTCCCTCTAACCACTATTAGGATGCATAACCCTGGGCCTGAGGTATTGTTAGTTCACTTTAAGTTAATTTGTATAGATCTTTTCATGTCACAGTTATGTTCAGTTTGTCATTGCTATCATCGACTTTTAGTTTATCATTCCATTTTCACACCACTCCCAGTCCTTTGTTTCCATGGTCACCGCCATTATGAGTTTGTTTCTTTCCCCTATGTTCTATTAATCATCTTTGAGTCAATATTAAAGTTCTATCTTCACCCCTTCACTGTTCACTTGTTCTGACAATTATTGATAGCCTATTAAACTCACATTGGAATCTTGATCTTTGTTTACCTGCAACCACCAGTGACAGATGACCGGACCAAATATGGAATATGCTGCAAGATTTTCTGCTAGGATGAGCCACGATAGTTACGTGAACAATTTTGTCCAGGGGAGCCATTGTAGTCAATCACAGACATATGTTGAGCGTGTGAACACCAATAGCCAATCAGAGGTGTTTAAGAATCCATTCACCAGCGCTCAAAATGCTAGAGGGAAATGCTGGTGTTGTCATATTTAAAAAATTCCGACAACAGTATAATAAATACTTTTGTACACTTTTGACAACACTATAATAAATATCACTCTAAAGCAGTTTTAGAGAGAACAAACTACTTCTCGCTAAAAATAAGGGCTGTCAAAGAATTGAGTAATTCTATTTCAGTCATCTGTTGCTGAGCAAGTGTGGACGTGATACTACCATTAGATACACAGAGACTCTGCTGTGAGCATGTACATACATACACATAGACAAACATTAATCCTGTAGCAGATACGCATGTGGTACTGGGTGAGGTTGTGGGTTTCAGAAGAACTCAGAGTAGCCAAAAAAAAAAAAAAAAAATACTGAACCAGACTATGTTAAAGGGTTAGTTCACCCAAAAATGAAAATTAAGTCATTAATTACTCACCCCCATGCTGTACCAACCCCGTAAGACCTTCGTTCGTCTTCGGAAGACAAATGAAGATATTTTTGATTAAATTTGAGAGCTGTATAACTACCACATTGGCTCCTAAGGGACTGCCTCTTGACGGCCCAGAAAGTCAATGAAGAAAATGTTTAAATATCCCAAGTGACTACCGTGGCTCAACTATATGTTTATCAAGCGACGCGAATACTTTTTGTGCGAAAAAACAAACAAAAATAACGAGTTTATTCGACTATTTCTTTTCTTCCTTGTAGGCCAAAACGAGACTTCCTTAGATTTCCACGACGCATGCGCGAGAATTGCGATCTGAAGTAGTGTAAGCAGATCGCAATTCTCGCGCATGCGTCGTGGAAATCTAAGGAAGTCTCGGGTAGTTATACAGCTCTCAAATTTAATCAAAAATATCTTCATTTGTGTTCCGAAGACGAACGAAGGTCTTACGGGGTTGGTACAGCATGGGGGTGAGTAATTAATGACTTAATTTTCATTTTTGGGTGAACTAACCCTTTAAGCAAGCAATCTCATTGGCTGCAGAATCAGCAGCGACCAATCAACTTGTTCCATTAAGTGGAGTTGCAGATTGCACTGTGATTGCTTGCAGATTGTTTTTAAAGAACATATCAGCCTGCAAAATTTAGTTTTATGACAGAACTGCATTTATATATTTTCCATTAATGGTAATTCAAAATGGAAAATACAATAAAACAATGAGGAAAAAGCATAAATTCAATCTGTTCATCATATAAAGCGATCATGTCTCAGGCCCCGTCCACACTACTGCGTTTAACGTTAAAAACGGAGACCTTTTGCTATGTTTGCACCTCCCGTCCAGACTAAAATGGAAAAACGAAGACCTAAAACGGAGAAGTTCAGAAACGCTGCAGCGCCGTTTTGCGTTTTGAATCTCCGGTGGGCGTTTTAGTGAAGACGGGACAAAACAGAGGACTCTAGAAACAATGACGCAGAGGCTCACGCTCGGCTCTATGATTGGGTGTCATCAGCCATGATGCGTCCTTCTCTGATTCGTCAGCCACCCATCACATGACCCGTTTCCTGTTTACACTGCATGCCCAGTGTTGGTGAATGGTCACGTGATCCACGTTTTCAGTCGTTTCAATGTGGACGGAGATCAATTCAAATGGATTAGTTTTACGATCTCGTCATGAACTTTCTGAAGTGTCAAAGTAGTTGTTGGATAGCTGTCAATGAAGGGAGAGAAAACTCTGATTTCATCAAAAATGAAGATCTTCATTTGTGCTCAGAAGATGAACGATAGTCTTACAGGTTTGGGATTACATGAGGGCGAGTAATTAATCACAGAATTTTCACCTTTAAGTATAGTAGATGTTTTGCAAGTTCCCAATTCTTAGAAATTAGCAAGTGTTTAAAAAAAGCTAACTATTTTCTACTTCCTGTTATATGTCTTTGTTTTCTGATCTCGGGACTTCCATCAGCCAATCAGTTTGACAGATCACAGTTCAGCAGTTCACAGCCGTTACTTATGAAACGCCAACTCCGTAAATCGGAGAAAAACAGAAAAAAACCTAGATCTCAAAACCCACTCACTGGAAATTATACTATAGAAAAAATACTAATCTTCTCATCTAGTGACCTCGACAGACTGCCTTTGTTTATCTGTGTCACGCTTTAAAGGAAGGATACCTACAGGTTAGAAGAAATTGGGACAATAATGGAGTTTTTGTGGGTTAAGTTGACATCACCCTCCCCCAGTATGCGAATTATCAGCTTAGTCATGACAGCGGTTTCTCAGCGTCCTCGCCGCCCTTGCAGATAGTATCCCACACATGACTGAAATTTTGAGAAAAAAAAAAAATATCTCAGAGTTTGCCCCACCCCAAAATGTAGATATGTATAAAAGATAACCACCTACTACTTCCATTCTGTTATCAACTTTCAATGAGTCAACAAAGTAGACAACCATGGAATGACATGCTAAACTTCACAAATTCATTGTGTAAGATCATGCAACACTCAAAAAGTCTAAATGTTCTGACACATGCATGGCCTGATGCACACAGAGCCAGAGAGGAAGTGAGTAGGAAGATCCGATAAGGAATGTGGTTTTCTTTAGCTGTAGTTTCTTAGTAGCTCTGTAGATCTTAGACTGGTAAAAAAAAAAAAAAAAAAAAAAAAAAAAACGTTCAATTGAATGCATTGAAGTTGACTGGTGCAGTGAACACAACTGCCTATGTAAGCAGTTAATGGTTAATAATAGCAGTTCACAAAAGCATTCTCTCATTTCACTAGAAGATATAATGAAGTTCCAAACATAAGTTTCTCTTGAAGACAGCATGCCAAGTTTGTTTACCATTAATTATTAAGACTGGATGGGCAGGCAAACTCATGAATTAGGCTGTCCTCTGTGACCCAACTGTGCACAAGTAAAATAAATGCATAAGCTGGTTGCCAGGGGCGCCTGTGAGGCTTTATCTGAGGGTAAACAGAAACAAGACTAGTTAATAAAGTGTATCCTTGTATCCTCCGGTTCTACCTAGACAGCTTGAAGCGGAATTCAAACCGGGCTTTCTAGGCGATAAAAAGGACGCTAAAGAGCGCAGCCTCCAATGCGCTTCTTGAGGCCAAGGGAGTGAGGTTTACTGGCAGGATGGTGTTTTTCCACTACACAGTACCAGCTCAACTCGGCTCACCTTTGTTTTGTTTTGCACTGTGTAAAAGGTGTACCTGTAACTGCTTTCGAAACAACTTTTGCGTAAACATACACGCCACTTTCGAGTCAAGTGGCGTGTTATCTCTACGCATTTTGAGCTATCCGCGTGTAATGTATGTCTACGCCATTAACGTCCGAGTGATTCCGCGTGTCTATACACGCGCGAAACGAAGCAAAATCTACATCTGGGGAGCGATCTTTTTTTTTTTTTTTTTTTAGGGAACAGTCATAAATGCCATTAACCCCAGTGACGGTTAGGTTTAGGGACGGGGTTGAGGTAAGTCATATATTTACATATACAGTAATACCGTTAAGTCAACAGCGTTCATAAACACGCTGAAAAGCGATTATGCGTGTTGATAGCACGCCAAAAATGAAAATATGAATTAGCGTGTCATACACACGCTACTTCATGAGATCAGTCTGGCTTTCGGGTACTTTTTTTTGTATTACCTCCAGCGAGGTTCTGAGCGAGCTAAGGCGATGCTAAAATGTGACGTGAAAACAATGCCACCTGCTGATCATTGCATGCGCCAGATGGCATATCCAGAATAACCCTGCCATTTTTAAATAGTTTGGCCAGATATAGTTACTAAACTTACGACTATAATTATGGCAACTCGGAAGAATACGCCGTGGTCAAAAGAGGAGGTGCGGACTTTGTTTTTTGCGGAAGAGAGGATCCAGCGAGAGCTTGATGGGGCAACAGGGAACGAAAGGCGTCTCTATGACGACCGGGTACTATTTGTGGCGGTACTGTCTGCAATGGAAAACAGAGCGAAAAGCAAGCTGAGGCGAGTCGAGCTGGTACTGGTAATGGAAAAGTACCATTAGTAGCTGGTCTTAATTACACTCACCCTTCTAAATCTCACACCCATCCGGCTCATGGCACCAATGTAACCCCTCTGGCACTACTCGCACCGCTCCCAGCAGGATTTGAATGGGCATTTCCGGCGGTTTCACTAATGTCACCACACCTTAACGGTGTGTCTCACTACAGTGGCAAAGTCTGCTCAGTGCCACTCGAAACGCTACAATGCCTCCGCTTTGGGACATGTCTTAAGTGGGTGAGGGTGTCTCATAGCAGTTGGCTCCTACTGTATTTTACTTGATATTTGCATAAAAGTGAGGATCTCTCAACTTTTGGATGCTCTCAGCCGCTCTCAATGCTTTCTCTGACCTGCTGTCAATCCAACAATTCACAGAACGCGAGTGATGCTAGGACATTTTTATTTTTTATTTACTTAATAATATAAATATCATCAGTGAATAATGTCACTGTAAGGAAAACATTCAAGATTCTTAAAAATTTCTTCTGTTTTGTTCCAGTGAAAAATAACAGCATGTGGGTTTTGAATGTCATTATAGTGGATATAGAATCAAAAATACATTTTTTTTTCCCTAAGTAATCAAGCCACCATGTGCCAGTGTCTGAAGTTTTGAGAAAGGGTTTTTATCATCCTGTGGGTGTGTTAAGTTGCACTGCACCAACTGTTTTAAACAAGCATGGTGTCACAAAAGGTACCGAGAGACTGCTGAACCATAGATGTTAACTGCTGTTTCTCACTTCCTACAGACCACCTCCTACAGACCACCACCATGCACCTCGCTTGCTGCATACCAACTCAGGAAACAACTGGCCCGAATGTTTGCACGAACTGCGTCAGTTGAACAACTAATGAAGTTTTGTCTGGCTTGCGGTTTAGTGAGCTGTGGTCAAATGCTGTCAAGAGCTGAATCAAATAAAAAACAACGATTATCACCAGAGATTAAAGAGTAAATGTTGTTAAAGAGGAAACCATAAGTCCAGAAATGCTTCAACAGTATTAGGCAAAATGAACATGTAATATATTTTCGAATTATAACCAAAATAATTGAAGTTGAATTAAAAAATAAGAATATTTTATTTGTACGATGTACGATCAATAATGAAAAATTTGTGGCACTTCAAATGATGGTCATGGTAATAATATGGATTCTATACTCATTGATCTAGCTGTGGATCCATGATTGTGAGGAGAACGTGAACGTGGCATGTCTTCATCCCGTCTCACGTTACGTTGAGTCGGCCAATCATCATGGAGAATGACTCTGACTAGGAAAAGTTAACGTTCCTGCCGCGGAGCTTATAGTTGTTTCAAATCTAAGGCCGATAGTTTAACAATAAAGTAATTTCTAGGTCTTGTCAAAAAGCTGTTGGTCTAGATAATTAGCTGTATTCTGAACGTTTAAGTCGTGTACGATAATTGTCTTCCAAATACAATAATTTTGAGCTTCAGGTTCTTGGACATTTCCAATCTGGCAACACATGGCTGTCGGTTTGGCTAACTGAAAATGGCAATATAACACACTCATGGGCAACAATCACTTCCCTGAATACCTGCCGGCTAAGACACAAATAAATGTTACCATCTGTTTTCAAATCCACATCTTTTGAATATCACACCATTGATGTATGTCAAAATGTAACGTGCACAATACAGTTATATTTATGAGAAGCAGAGTTCCAGTGAGTACATGCATTCAAAACCCACACGTAGCGCTACGTCATCGCTTTCCAAGAAGAGGGAGAAAATGGGGCCTGAGTGGCTTAGTTAGAGACATGCTGTCTGTTAGAGACAATAATAACCCACATAATACATAAGGCTTGCGAATAAAAATTATGTTCGTCAATTGCTGAAATTGAATCGGGATGTGAATAGTGAAATACGTCACACTGCACGATAAAGAGAATAAACGCCAATCCAATAGAAAATGAGTGGTCTGGAGATGAGTTCTTACTCTCATATGCTGATGAAATATAATAAACTATAAAAAAATTAAATAAAATCTACTTTGAATACTATCTTCTGAATTGTAAGGCAATTCAAAGTTTGATCAAATGTTTAATTTTCCAATAAAAGACGATACATTTTTACATGATTTCATACATTTATTTACCCATTAGCAGATTGACACATGCACACATCATGCATGCGTGCACACACACATTAAACTGAAAAATATACAAACATGACCACACTTTCCTTGACATCAGATATGATGTATAGAAATACAGATCCAAATCACATCACACACATTATATTGCATAACAGCAAATATATCACTCATGAAGACTTCATTACAATCACGATGAGGATGATGTGATCATTCTACTGAAACCAAAGACTGATATTTCATCAGTTTATATGGTAACCTTTAAAATGGTTCTGCTTGAGAAAAAGGCTTCGCTATGTTTTTTTGGTGAGACTGAAAAGCAAGATATGGAGACAAATTTTGAGTCAGAGAATGAGAAAAACAATAAGAGAAGCGTTCTTAATAAAACAAGTTGTGCTGCTTTTCCCTGGCTGTGGGAAAGCGATCATAACCAGTTATGAATCATTCTCATCACTGACACCTTCACTTCAGAAGTGATTCACACTTTTCACAGAAATAAAAAATAAATAAGTTGACAGATGTTAGCAAATCATAACATGGAAATAATTATAGTTTAGTGCTGTAAATAAAGAAAACATGGACTAAATTAGATTATTTCAGGATGCATGTACACTATTTACAGGAATTGAGAGAATGATGGCCGTTATTTCTTGTCAACGATTCTGCTGATTGAAAACGGAGGCAAATTCTTCATCCCGAATTTCCTGTAGAGATACACACAATTTAAAGTTAAATATAAGCAACCAATCATTCCACATTTATTCTGTTAAACCGAATATCATTAGCACACACAGAGACGTTTTTCATGTTTTAATTGGGACTTTCTATCGACAATGATTTTTACACTGTACAAACTGAATATTCGATCCCCTAACCCTACAAAGAACCTTCTCCCCTTTTACATTTTCAAAAAAAACATATGATTTAAGATGATTTCCTCATGGGAAACAAATTTTGTCCCCATTACGTAGGGTTTACCTGAACCACACACCCACACACACACATAAACAAACAAATATTAGTCAGTTCACTTACATTAAAATTTTGTCTTTCACCGACTGGTCTGTAAAGGAAAAATAGAAGCAAACATCATCATTTTTTTTTCTCACAGTTTGCTCAAGGACATTTATTAATTATTATTATTTTTAGACAGTAATGAGGATGCTACTTACTTTTGCGCTTGCAGCGTTTGATTTTCTTGCAGCATATCTGCATCAAACATATCAGCAGGAACAATCCCAAGATCCCAAACGCCACGGCTATCCCAATTGATGTGGAGCTATCTGGAAGATTTTTTTATTTATGTAATTCTTTATTTGACAGTGACAATGGACAATAAAAAAACTAGAAAAAAACTACAGAGCTAAATTTCATCTGCTGTGCCTGGGCAGTAAAGTACTTTATATACCAAAAGATCATTATATGATAAAATTTTTGAAGTTATCATTTTTGGGGAGTCCGATATCTCAAGTTTTAATAGTGTTCTTGGATCAAAACTCTCAAACGGCTACTCATGCATAAAAAGTCTTGGTGTTTTAATTGATAGTTCTTTAAAACTCGAAAGACAAATTAGCTCAGTGGTAAAAAAAAAAAAAAATCAAGCTTTCTTTTCAACTTAGACTTCTTAGGAAGGTGAAGCCGTACCTGCCACATCGGCAACTGGAAAAAGCAGTGCATGCCTTCATCACAAATCGTTTGGACTATTGTAATTTTTTATATTATGATCTTGATCAGTGCTCAATCCACTGACTAAAATTAGCGCAAAACGCAACTGCAAGTTTATTGACAGGGAAAAAGAGCAGTGACCACATCACCCCTGTATGGGGTCTCTTCATTGGCTGTCTGTCGCTTTCAGAATCCATTTTAAATTTTTATTGCTCGTTTTTAAATATCTAAATGGTTTAGCACCTTCATATTTCTCAGACATGTTTATTTTGCACATAAAACCAGAAGAGATTGTTAATTATTTATGGGGATTATTAAAAAAAAAAATATTGGGTGGATTTTTTTATAATTATAGGCTGGTTGTTTACACACACTGTAGACACACATATGTGTGCAAACACCTTATAAAAATGAATTTAGCACAGTAGTTTTCCAACTTGTGACTAATAGTTTGACAAAAAACACAAACACCGCACAAACATGGACACAAACATAGTTGCAATACACTTAAATCACAACAATTGCTTGTTCTGAATGCTAAGTGCTAACTGCTAAAAACAAAGGCTTATTAGCTTAGCCTATGACGTTTGATTGACCTGTGCTATTTTAAAAGTCAAACGAATGCACTACCAGCCCCTGACCAGAATAAACTAAGCCTATTAATTGTGAAAATATGTTGAAAACAAAAACACCTTACTTTAATTCATTTACATTTATTCGTTCAGCAGATACTTTTCTCCAAAGCAACTTGCCTAACAAAGCGCTTTTAAATGCTTGAAACCTAAGAAATGTGGTCTTCCGTTTCGAGGAGTTTCTTACCCATGATGCCTTTTTCTTGAGAATAGATGTACTTTTGTTATGATGTGTCCCTGAAGAACAGTTGAAGTATGATGCTCCTTATCTTATAAACATATCTTTTTCTAATACAGTGCTAACTTGCTATGTCGCTAACTGGCTTTGTGTGCGTCTGTACACTGAGAAAAGCTGATGTTTTATGAACTGGTCTGTCTTCATTCTCTTTTTTAACATTGTCTGGCCCACCCTTTCACATTGGTTCTTCATTTTCACCTGACTACGATCGTTTGTTCTGATTGCTTCTTTAGCTTACTGGCTACATAGTTTAGTTTATCACTGACGACATCTCTTTCACACAAACCAAGATTGAGGCTCTGTTTCATTTTTATGAGAGAGGACAAATGTGGCATGCTAGAATGTTTTTATTTGAAATAAAATGTATGTTCTGGTAAATGTGTAGTATGTCACAGAATGTCATCACACCGTCTTCTTATATACACCTACGTTAGTCATCTAGTTTAATGTCACCTGTCTGGTTATGAATCAGATGGAATGATTTTCTGCTTTCTCACTCATTACAGTGCACACTTAGTGGGGGTGGAGTGGTTTACTGTAGGTACACGTGCATGTGGTACGTGCTGCCCTCTGTTGTGCACTAAATGAAATGCAGCAGGCTGGTGGCTAACTTGACCACATTTGTGATTTTGTAATTCAGTCTAGTCATATAACACAACAAAGACTCCCTTCATGGCTTTTCTCTCTCAGAAAAAAAAATCCCTTTAATTTAAAATTAGCTTGTATAAGACAGAACAGGAAAATGAGAGAACCCCCCCATTCACATCATTTGAAAAGTAAATCCATCTTCTCAAGGCTAATTTATTGTTGTCCCTATAGGGGGACTTTACCATCATGAAGTTTTAGTTTTGTGAAATCCCATCTGTTGGTAATGGACATGGGCAATTAATTATGTGTTATGGCTTCTGATATATATATATATATATATATATATATATATATATATATATATATATATATGAAAAAATGGAACAATGTAATTATATCAGTTTAATATATTACTATTAAAAATGTACTAATCTATTATTCATAACATATTTGATTAATTTCTAGAAATAATATTGTTCCAGGTTTTTGTTGTGCCTCAAGGGTATAGGGCACCTCAAAAGATAATTCTGTCATCATTTACTCACTTTCATGATGTTTCAAACGGGTATTAACTTTGTCTTTTTAGAGACCAAGTGCAAACAGCCCTTGTTACAGATGCTATTTACACTTACTCCACCCATTATTGTCTCTTGGAGCCAGACACAATTACAAAAGAAACCCTTTTGACAATAAATGCTTTTGGCAATTAAGCCTGCAGGTGACGTTAACTTGTCACACGACCAACCCGAGTTCTAATCTGCTTTTTTCCAAACTCATTCTTCTCCCTTTTCCGATTGCGTATCAGCTCGGGGAGCCGTGTCTTCTGTAGCAATATAGTAGATGTTTGTGAGGAATAAACTAAAGTAGCTCTCTGTGACACCTTCATGAGTCTCTGATGTCTCTTTGATTAATTGGTTGATGCAATCAGGGCCCTGACCAATTTGCTGGCAAGATTTGACCTGGTGCCCCATGAATCACAGCCCATTTCACCACATCATTGTGCATTCTGGCGCCCCAATTGAGTGGTGGCGCCCCTACTATTTGCCAATGCCGCCTATACCACAGGCCGGCCCTGGATGCAATTCACAGTTTGCATAGTTCACAAAATCTGATTGATTTGCTTCTTGAGTTCAACTCAGTGATCTGGTCACAATGGTCAACAGATCATCATTAAATAACAACTTACATTGTATCCATAGGACAGGAAAAATGAATACATGAATTTATACTTTAGAGCTTTAGCACATTTTTTTAACTCTAATTTCTGTTTTATTTAAGAGCACAATATCATTCAAATTGTTCAATTTTGTGTTCCACAGAGTAAATAATGAAACTTTTCATATTTGAACAATGCTCTGACAAAGTCAAAAGCTTGCATTTGCAGGAATTGACTGATTTTTTTTCTTTCTCACAGCTATAGCACATGTTGACACTTTAATATCTCATCAAAATTCAAAACCACCCTTCCTTTTACCCTTAGCAGCAAGTGAGCATATCTTAACCACATAAACTGCATGTAACTGAGTGAGGGCCTGGAAAGGTTTTTTTTTTTTTATGTCTGTAACAGACACATGTAATGTGAGGTGGAGGATCAAAGTACTAATTTGCAATTTAAGAAAATTATGTTCTTCTGAGGGGGTTTCCCCTTTTGCACCAACCTCTTTATCTTTATTTCAAAACTGTGAATTTCATGCAAACTGTGCCGCTGTCCTGCACACAAACAGGTGCAGAGCTCAGAAGAACATGCAGCAGAAAGGCAGATGGATGCAACACTCACTGTAGAGTTCTCAGAATGTTTTGAACAACGAGATCCAGTCAATACCACAACCTGTCACGTGCAGCTCGCAGGATACAATATTACAATAATAACACAGTTACATTAGTGGTTTAAAATGAGGCCTTGGATGGAGGTATAAAGTAAACACTTTAAACAGATCTCTAATATTGTACAAACAGTGCACAAGCTAAATATAATAATACATTTGATACGCCAAATGATATGAATTTTTTTTTTCATTTATTGTGTCTAACGTCTTTGTATTATATGAATATAATAAGAACTAATATCATATGATTACCATTGACAATTTATGCCTTATTTGATTCAAACATTTTTTTCCAACACTCAATGTGTCCTAATTATGTTGGAGTATAAACTCACAACCTAATGTATTTTGGATTTACTGTAATGATGCAGGACATCTATAGACATTTACTTCCGTGCACACTATTCTGGTAATAAAGTAATCCGAGCATGTTTTCCTGTATATCAAATATCAGGATGTGTTGAAAGCTCCCTAATTTGCAAGATAACAAAAGAGAAAATGAACACGAGCACTTCCTTATATCTCATTTTATAGAAAATAAGACAAAAAAGATGACAAGAATATATGGACAAAGCAGTTCGGTGGAAAGGGAAAGGGCAGCAAGGGTTGGTTATAAAGAGGCTTGATTCTAAAGTTTGTTCTTCTGATACTGGCTTGCCTCATGAAGACTTATTTCCATGACCACTGAGGACATGAGGAAGAGCAGAAAATAGGATTTAACACAACCTGCCTGTCTTTATTGACATCAGATCCTTTAGGAATACAGCCACAGTAAGTTCTGCTTATTTTGTCTTTATATCTTCTCTCTTATAAGGGCGCTTGATGTGTATATATATATATATATATATATATATATATATATATATATATATATATATATATATATATAATTTTCTTCTTTAATGACGATTTTTTTTTTATCAAACTTGTATATTTAAGTTCAGTAATTTCACTTAAATAACAATAATTATCATTGCCATTTAAGTGAAATCACTGAACTTAAATATACAAGCTTGATAAAAATGATCATTCAAGAAGAAAATTTCAAATGGCACTTAGAGGCTTTTGCATCTGAACTCTTCATATGAAGAGTTCAGATGCAAAAGCCTCTAAATACCATTTGAAATTTTCTTCTAAAATGACCATTTTTATCAAGCTTGTATATTTAAGTTCAGTAATTTCACTTAAATGACAATTAATAGGTAATCTTCATTGCCATTTAAGTGAAATTACTGAACTTAAATATACAAGCTTGATAAAAATGGTCATTTTAGGGTACGTGCTTAATTCAGATTTTCTTTAGTAAGTGTATGTATTTTTGCTTTAGGCAGGGTGTGTGTAAAATGTTCTGCTTTGCCTGTGCAAAACTGAACAGCAAGTGTAAAAATAGAATTTTGCAGTATAAAAAATAAATGTAAAAAAATTACCCAAATTCCCAGGGGCCCATCTTCTACAGGGCCCAATAAACATACATTGTTAGAGTTATTAGGGCCCTGGGAATCTGGGTAATCTTATTTTTTTATTTATAAAAACAAAAAACAAAACAAAAAACATGGATGGTCTTAAGGAGGATGTCTCCGCTTTTGTGGAGTGGGTGCTGGTGAACTACAATTCGGTGCTCACTATGGGCCTGTCTGAAGACCACACTAGCCCCACTCCAGATCCAGATTTCTGTCAGCCCTTCCATGCGATATGCAGGAGGAGGATTTACATTTAGGACACCAGGTTGTGGAGATCGGCCAGCTGTGCTGGACGAGCCCGAGCCTGCTAGGAGGACGGGAAGAGACCTCGTCCCCTGAGCCACACAGAGAGTCTGACCAGATGTGTTACCTGGCAACACTGTGTGTCGCTGAGGGAGTTATTGTGGAGTTCAAGGGCATGGCGGGAAGCCCTGCACACAACCCTGCAGAAAAATATGTGTTAAAAATATCTTCAGCAGAACAAAATGACATCATGTAATGCTGGTGTCACAGCTTAGTTGCTGCAATAATAACTCGACGAATAATTACTCAGAAAGGACATAATATAAAATATAATAATCAAATTCAGACAAGCACTGAAGATGACAGGAAAACAACCAACTAAAGACATCGCAGAACGAAAAACAGAATGAAGTGAGGGCTTATATACACACTGGGATCGTTAACTCTAACGAGGTTCAGTTGTTATGGGAAGGAGGAGGCAGAAACTGGTGAATATTCAACAAGTTAGCTTGACTATTCAAACAAGTTTATAAATGCAGTGCATTTACCATTTTACCATTTTGCGGTCATGGATATGCATTGAATGGAAGAGATTTGGAGGTGTTTGAGGAAGGTATTTCCCAGTTTCTCCTACCCCCGCTGGCCCCACCCTGCCCAGAGTCTCCTGTTTCTCAAGCTCCACCCAATAAGGAGATTCCCAAGGCTCACTTCCAGCTTACGAACCCATCACTCCACCGCGGGCTGTCGACCTATCGGCTTCGCCTTGGCTCCTCCCTCCCTCAGCTCCACCAGAAACCATTGTCCTCATGGTTCCACCAAGCTCCCTTATCCCACCAGCTCCGCCTTGGTCAGACATCACTCTGTTTGCACTTTCGGCATCACCTTCGTCCTAAGTCCCCAGGACGAAGGAGCGACACAGTGGAGATCGAGAGAGGAAAAGGCCTGATTTTGTGTTTTGTTTCTGTTTCATGTAGCCAGAAGCTGGCTTATACTTTAATTTTTGTATTCATTTATTGATTTATTTATTAAACTTGTTGAATATTCACTGGTTCCTGCCTCCTCCTTCCCATAACAACTGAACCTGAGTTAACGATCCCAGTGTATAAGCCCTCACTTCATTCTGTTTTTCATTCTGCGATGTCTTTAGTTGGTTGTTTTATTCTCCTGTCATCTTCAGTGCTTGTCTGAATTTGATTATTATATTTTATATTATTTCCTTTCTGAGTACTTATTCGTCGAGTTATTATTGAAGCAACTAAGCTGTGACACCAGCGTTATATGACGTCATTTTGTTCCGCTGAAGATATTTTAACACATATTTTCCAGTGTGACAAATGGTAGATTCCTGATCTACATTAAAAACTGTTTTTATAAGCTATCATCCTTAAAAGACTTAAAATAAAGAATAATTGTTGTCAATGAGTGTATTCACTGCCTGTCATGGCTATATTAAGTAGCATATTATCAGTGGATGATTACCTTATAACCTATGACACTCAGATGTGCCCTTCTGATTAATTATGTGAAAATACGTAGAGATTCACAACCTATTTAGTATTTTAATTTGTTTTTTTTTTTAATAATGATGCAACACATAGACATTTAATTCCTCACTGACAATAAGTAAAATTTCCTTTATTACATAAAGGAAAATCAGCACATTTTCCTTTATCAGATATCAGGATATGAGCTATAGAGCTCTAATTAAAATTTCAACTTGATCTGCCAAATACTAAGGATCCATTTTTAATCCTGTATACAGTAAACAATGTTCTTTTTGGTGTCAGTTTTCCAAAATGTGGTAATTCCTATTTTATGTTCAAGCTTCTGAGCCACATTCTTATTCATGTTCTCACTGACTTTGTTTTTCACATTCTTGCACAATTTTGAAGAATAATTTTAAATACAAAAACATACTGAGTCACAAAAACATGTGACTCTAGTATCACTACATCACATAGTGGCAGAGCAACTTGCTTTGTAATGATGGTAGTGTCAACAACATGTTTAACTAGGTAAACATATCAGACCATGGCTCTGTGGAGAGCCAGTATGTGTTAAACAAAGGCTGTGACAATGGCATTCATTACACACAGCTCCCTAATACAAGACTGAGATGCACTAGTATCATGGGGTCACACTGATCAAGGAGAGGTCACACTGACCTGACCCTTAATAGAAACATGATCACTTTCCCACTGAGAACTTTCACCGAGAACCTTTTCTCTGCATGACTCTCAAAGTTTAGAGTCCTCTCTCTCTTTAAACAAATAAATAACAGTGATAACAGAGCACCAGGGTTATATAAATGGTGTGTTTGTTTACCTTTGAACTATGGCAAAGTTTAGTGGTTTGATCACTGAGTTTAAATAAGCAGGTGAGAGATTTTTCTATTTAGAGACACAGTAAAAGAGAAAGTTAAATATGCACATGATGTGAGTTGCATATTGAAGTAAAATATGGATATAATGCTTATCCTTTGGCCTCATTTTTCTTCTAATTGAAAATAAGGCTCAAACGTGCCAGTTTGGGCAGGTTTCACCAGCCCTAACATGAGTATTGTTGCCAGCAATGATAAAAGGCATGCAAGTGAAGTAAATCGAATCTGATTCCAATCAAACTAAACCAAATCAATTTGAATCAAACCAAATTAAATGTGTATCTGGTGGTGTCACACTCATACACGTCAGGTATCATTTAAGTAAAGTGATATTAATCAAATCAATGCAAATTCAAATGCAATTGGATCAAATCAAATGTGAACATTTTGAACGTGTGAATGTACTCACAACACAACCAAATACAGAGATGCGGTTCAAAAGTTCACAACACAACCAAGGTGCAGGTGACCCCAATAAGTGATTGCTTACAGCTCAGTCTTTTTTTCTTTTTTTTTTTGTAAAAACATACAGAGATGACATGTTTATGTTAAAATACAATATACAAAATGTTAACAATATGTTCAATATCACCAGAATACAAATGAAAACTAAAATAAATAAATAATAAAGTCAAGACAAATCACGCCACATTTATAGCGCTTACAGATTGTTTCAAAGCAGCTTTACAGAGATTACAGGAAAATAATGTTGTAATAATATTGTTATATATAAAATTTTATGTCCCCAACTAAGCAAGCTAAAAGCCAATGGCGATAAAGGCGAAGAAAGGCGAAAAAGTACATTAGTTACATTGTACAAATGTTGCCATGTTATGTTTAAATAAGTTTTATTTGAAATGTTAGGTAGCCTAGTAGCCTGGTTAAAACCAGACCATTCTCAGTTGTAACTGAGTTATGGTCTGGCAAAGCGTCATAGACAAATCATTTCCAGAGGGGCGTCACCAACAGACGTCGCGGATAGACCTAAAGCCAATCAGAGCGATGAAGGAGTGTTGTTCTTTGCTCGTTTTTTAACAAAAATGAAACGTTTAAATCGCTTAAAAAAGATGCGATAGCTGATTCGAACGAGTGATGTTCGACGGCGGCATCCATCTTTGTAATGTAGGCTACAAAATCTGCTTCAAAATCCATCGTCGTGTAAAGCCCGCCCCAACGTTTCTGATTGGTTAAGCTATTTCAGCGGATTGGAAATGGGTTCGAATGAGCTCTTTGCCCTAACTTTCAGAGCAAATCTAAATTTGCCGGAAGTTGTCTGGGTTTTCCCAGGCTAGTAGCCTAGGGTTCGTCACTTAATGATGGGTCTAGGGGTCACCTGTAAAACGTTTCTATTGTGTTCTGTTCTATTTGCAGCTTGTTTTTGTATTTGGTTTAGTGAGTATTGTATTTGTATTTGGTGTAGTGAGTATTTGAAGCACATGTGTTGTGAAACTGATTTGTGGGTGTTTTTCTATTTGCATGTGTTTTCTTCCGTTGGAGCACGTTGAGCTTTCTCGGCCACCATAGAAAACAGTTAAAACAGTCACAAACTCCACTCGGTCCCTCCACAAGCCTAACATGAACGAAAATAAATGTATACATTTAAATTGTTAGATATATATATTTTTTAAAGTAGAATCACATCAGTCGAATAGTGAGAATTCTTTCTCGCATGAGCAATGACATACTAC